ATTCTAGTTTGGTTTGTTTTGTTTTGAATTCCGTGCAAAGCTACACGAGGGCTATCTGCTCTAGCCATCCCTAATTTAGCAGTGTAAGACTAGAGGGAAGGCAGCTAGTCATCACCACCCACCGCCAACTCTTGGGCTACTCTTTTACCAACGAATAATGGGATTGACCGTCACTTCATAACGCCCCCACGGCTAAAAGGGCGAGCATGTTTGGTGGGACGGGGATTCGAACCCACGACCCTACATTTGCGAGTAGAGCGCTCTAGCCACCTGGCCTTGTACTTCATGTAAAAATAGCATTTCGAACAGACATTTCTCTGTTTAAACGTTCAGCCCACATGACAATTGTGGTATTGAACGACGGGTCTCCTGGGCACTGACGTGTAGCAGCCCAAAAAATAGAGATTTCTAAACGCTAATTTTACATTCCCCTAGTCAATGTTGTTGTTTTTTTATCACTATTATTCATTTACTAGGCCTATTGGTTTCTATCCTTCTCCGGCTTTTAACGTTTAAAATCGTAACATTAAGTTAAAATAATACTAACTAGGCCTATTTACCAGGCCTATTGGTTTCTATCCTTCTCCGGCTTTTAATGTTTAAAATCGTAACATTAAGTTAGAATGATACTAACCAGATTTGACAAGTTTATTTTTATTCAGATGGGCGAGATGAACGAGGCCACAAAGAATGTTAAAAACGATGGATTGAAATTTTTTACTTTACAGAACATCAGTATCATCGTAGGAGTTGTAGCTGTATTCCTCATGGCGATGTACAGTGAAATAATAAGTTTTGAAACTATGGAATAGTTTACAATATACTAATTTACAAAACTATTTTCGGCGTTAGTTTGGAGATCACGGGTCTTTTTTGCACTTTATGTTTTTTTTTTTTAGTTAAGAAAGTGGAAATGACAAAATTAAATACAAAATGACTTCAGTATGGTTTTTTTTCTTGCTAAGTTATTCCCGTATGATTCTGTTATTTGATCATCATGCCTTTAGATGAACATCCGGGTAACAAAAAACTGGTTCCCTATTTCATTATTAAACGTACTTTAATCATCTTCTATTTAATATCATAATCAGAATAGTCAAGACGTTGATTTTGTCGCATGTTTAATTAACACGAGTTGAATAATTTCTTATTCGACCTATAATGTATGGACACTGTGACGAGAGTAGACTGACATTGTTTTAAATATTAAAACTTAATATCGCTTTGCAGAACGAGATCGGGTTAATTCATTGTCATTGGCAGTGTATAGTTTATTTATTGTCGTCGGCAGTGGATAGTATATTTATTGTCGTCGGCAGTGGGTAATTTATTTATTGTCGTCGGCAGTGGATAGTATATTTATTGTCGTTGGCAGTGGATAGTTTATTTATTGTCGTCGGCAGTGGATAGTTTATTTATTGTCGTCGGCAGTGGATAGTTTATTTATTGTCGTCGGCAGTGAATAGTTTATTTATTGTCGTCGGCAGTGGATAGTTTATTTATTGTTGTTGGCAGTGGATAGTTTATTTATTGTCGAACATAAAGCTATAAAATGAGTATCTGTGCTCTGCCAACCACGGGGATCGAAATCCTGTTTTTAGTGTTATAACCTCTCGAACATATTGTTGAGCCATCAGATATATAGATAAATATGAAATCTTAACGAAGTTTTCAGGTAAACCTGATATTTTGTATGTGATGGTAGCAGGTTTGTTCGGTCTACTAACGGAAAAATAAATGGACGCGTAAGTCACAAACTGATGTCTAGCTATTATTAAAATCATACACGAAACTGAAGTGTTTGTTACGTAAAGTACAGTATCATGACTAGCTTTAGTGAAATAATATGTACAGTATCATGACTAGATTTAGTGAAGTGTTACGTAAAGTACAGTATCATGACTAGTTTTAGTGAAGTGTTATGTAAAGTACAGTATCATGACTAGTCTTAGAGAAGTGATACGTAAAGTACAGTATCCTGACTAGTCTTAGAGAAGTGATACGTAAAGTACAGTATCATGACTAGTTTTAGTGAAGTGTTATGTTAAGTACAGTATCATGACTAGTCTTAGTGAAGTGTTACTTTAAGTACAGTATGATGACTAGTCTTAGTGAAGTGTTATGTAAAGTACAGTATCATGACTAGTTTTAGTGAAATAATAATAATTTGGCTTGGCATTACCCGGTAGTTGGGAGGGGCTTAACTCGTAATTTACGGGTCACGGGCTCAAATCATCGTTATAATGTGTCGGTCAATCCCATTTTTCGTTGGTAGAAAGTAGCTCGAGAGTTAACTACTTCTCGATTAGGGACTGCTAGCGCAGACAGTCCTCAAGTAGCTTTGCGCTGTATTCTACAAAAAAACAACAACAAAAACTCACACTTTATATACTATTTCAACGTTTTCCGTGCTAGGTTTTTTAATATGGCATTTTGGCAGCCTATACTTATATATATTAAAAACTAAAGTAAAGAAAAGGAATATTTTCTCCAGTTCATGATACATAATTCAGAAAAATTTCGATAGAGACTAGCATAAACAACAATTCCAGTGCCATCTAGCGAGCACTGATTGTAATACATGATAACATGGTTATTTTAAACAGAAGATATTGAACAAGTTGGTTATTTTATACAGAAGATATTGAACACATTAGTGATTTTATACAGAATATATTGAACAATTTGGTTATTTTAAACAGAAGATATTGAACACATTAGTGATTTTATACAGAAAATATTGAATAAGTTGGTTATTTTAAACAGAAGATATTGAACAAGTTGGTTATTTTAAACAGAAGATATTGAACACATTAGTGATTTTATACAGAAAATATTGAACACATTAGTGATTTTATACAGAAGATATTGAATAAGTTGGTTATTTTATACAGAAGATATTGAACAAGTTGGTTATTTTAAACAGAAGATATTGAACACATTAGTGATTTTATACAGAAGATATTGAATAAGTTGGTTATTTTAAACAGAAGATATTTAAAGATCAAAATGCCGGTCACGAAAATGAGGGGCTCAGCTCAAATCTTTATTCAACAACACATTTTTGAATTAGTTTAGAAATCATATATAATGTAATTAGTTTCTTGACATTGTACATATTATACCATTATAGCGGTACCAAAAAGTTATATAACAGCTTTCTATCAGTCACAATAGGTGTTAGAATTAATGTAAGAAGGTTACATAACATTTTTCTATCAGTCACAATAGGTGTTAGAATTAATGTAAGAAAACGTTACATAACATTTTTCTATCAGTCACAATAGGTGTTAGACTTAATGTTAGAAAACGTTACATAACATTTTTCTATCAGTCACAGTAGGTGTTAGATTTAATGTTAGAAAACGTTACATAACATTTTTCTATCAGTTACAATAGGTGTTAGAATTAATGTAAGAAGGTTACATAACATTTTTCTATCAGTCACAGTAGGTGTTAGATTTAATGTTAGAAAACGTTACATAACATTTTTCTATCAGTCACAGTAGGTGTTAGATTTAATGTTAGAAAACGTTACATAACATTTTTCTATCAGTTACAATAGGTGTTAGTCTTAATATAAAAAGTTACATAACATTTTTCTATCAGTCACAGTAGGTGTTAGATTTAATGTTAGAAAACGTTACATAACATTTTTCTATCAGTTACAATAGGTGTTAGTCTTAATATAAAAAGTTACATAACATTTTTCTATCAGTCAGAATAGGTGATAGAATTAATGTTAGCAAAGTTACATAACATTTTTCTATCAGTCACAGTAGGTGTTGGAATTTATGTTAGCAAGGCTACATAAAATTTTTCTATCAGTCACAATAGGTGTTGGAATTAATGTAAAAAGGTTACATTACATTTTTCTATCAGTCACAATAGGTGTTAGTCTTAATATAAAAAGTTACATAACATTTTTCTATCAGTCACAATAGGTGATAGAATTAATGTTAGAAAACGTTACATAACATTTTTCTATCAGTTACAATAGGTGTTAGTCTTAATGTAAAAAATTACATAACATTTTTCTATCAGTCACAATAGGTGTAGTTTTCCTTACCTATATATATATATATATATACATCAAGGTCGATCTTGTGGTATGGCAGATGAATACAAGACAATCCGAGTTACAGGCCTGTTGATCAGAACATACATGTACAGAGAAACCAGATTTTCTGGTTTGACCCCGGTGACCTCCATGGCCTCGAAAATAATCTTAAAGTTGAAGAGTGAGAATGTCACCCCCCCCCTAGATTTAGATTCTTTACCCCTTTAAAGTTGGCTTAGCATTGGTGACGACAACTATCAATAAGATGTTGCATCAAAAGTTTTATTGATGATGTGGCTGACCCACTATACCAGATTGTGCGGCAATCTTATTTGGATCGGGAAATATTATCTGTTTTGAACTACCCCCCACGTTTTGGGAAACGCGAATGCGTAGTACTATTGTTATTATTGTATTATAAGGGTGTTACCATAGTTCAGAAGATTAATGCCGTTGTTTGTATATGTGGTGCTACCATAGCTTAGCAAGTTAACGCCTTGTTACAGGGAGGTTACCATAGGTTAGTGATTTGTTTACTGAAGTTGCCTCTAAAGCGGCATCCTATACTTATTTCTTTGTTGATTCAGAGTTTAATGAGTTTTCATTAAACTTTAAGCAAGTTTTTATGTTCGACGTTGTTCAGAAGGTCGTCTCGTTTTTTCACATGAGAATATTTAAGTTTGCTAGCTTGAAGAAGGTTCTGGCATGGAAAGAAATCCATTCCAAGTTAATAAAGTTTTTACAGTTTTTTTTTGAAAACGCAATACGTCAACTTAAAGAATTAAACCAGTTATAATAACATGATTTATTGACCAAAACTAAACTTGATACGGACCAGTTTCAATAGATTTAGGCTTGGGTTCTGGGTAAGGGGGGTATTTGGTAATGTGAGTTATAAGTATCAGCCTTACCGGAGCTCAGTTTCTTTGGGAATATATGTTAGTTTCAGTTTTAGACATCAGCTTTACTAGAGTTGACTTCAGTTCTGGGATGTTTGGTACTGTTAGTTTTATACATCAGCTATACTAGAGTTG